CCATGTTTCCACTTACCAGGGTTCCGTTTTGGTACCGGTTTTTTGACCCACTGCCATTTGTTGGTTAAAGCTAAGACCTGAAGCCGAAGCCAACCCCCGCTGTTAGCGGCATCCAGGACTCTGAAATCGAGACCGGTTCGCTTGTTCATTGATCAGCTGCCCAGTTCGGAGCCAGAAATCAATGGACGTTTGACCTTTTGGACTCTAGAAATGAGGCAACAGGTGAGACCGACCCGAGACCTGACTTTGGGTTTGTTTTGTTTCTTCATTGATCAATTGCCCAATTTGGAGCCAGAAATGAGGAAATGTCATCTTTTGGGCCCTAGAAATGAGGCAACATAAGCGAACATAGAAGAAAACCCAAGTGTTCAAAAGGTCGAAAGGTCGGGTGAGAAGCATTGAGGATCGGTTTGGTTCGTGTTTCTCCTTTCCGAGGGCACCCTTGTTGGGGTGTAAAGGGAATTGGAACGGTCATCAACCATTTGAGGGATTCATTTTAAGACGCACACACACACACCCAACAGGTCTCCCTATACTTCCTCTTAAAACATCACCCATTGCAAGGGACACTCACCTTTCACGGGCCAAAAAGGTGATGTTTTGAAACCACCCAAAGGGGAAATACAGGGACCCCTGCCCAACGTAGAGTGCAGAACAACCTCGTAGATTGCCCAATATGGCCTCTGCACGATCCTCAAGGAGGGAAGAAGGGTGACCAGAACGAAGCCATGCTTGGGCTTGGTTCGCTTGCCAAAGTTCTGGGTAAATTATAATATTTCACCAACCTGAGATAAGGTGGCTGGGGGGATATTCTCCACATAAACCACAATTTGGGGTAAGTTTGTGAGGTCGTTTATAGTTCCCCCAGATAGTTGTTCAGGGAACCAACAGCAAATGTGTCTTTTGCAAAGTGCCCTTTCTTCCGGCATGTGTTGTGTGGAAGCCGCTTCATTTGAACATGGGCAAAGCCGTGTGTTTTTCCTAAGTCATCAAAGCGGGCAAACCGCTTCACAGGAAACTGACTTTGCTCCACTGGCTGTGTCCGCCAGACAAAGTCACAACATAGAAATAAAACAACACGTTTGAGCATTAAAACGCTAAATGGGTCCTTTTAGTCAACCCGATCGGAAGTCTTCTCATTGGCCAAAAACCTTGCAGGCATCCCAATAATCTTTGCCTAGGCTGTTGTTCCGCATCACCTTTGAGGCGCAACTTTCCAGCTTTCCTCTAATTGTGGGCTATGCGGAAAAAAAAAAGAACAACAAACAGTAACAGGTCGAACCCTGTCGTCGGAACCCCCCGAGGGGGCCACAGGAACCACAAAGCGGGCAATGGGCGACAAGCGGTGCGAAGCGGTGCGAAAAAATCCGCTCCTCCCGTGAGTTGGCAGGGCGAGCGCCTTTGCCCCTGCGGTACCGAAACGCAAAAGGAATCTCTGGGCCGTTTTTGGGCGAACCCCCGTGATGGTGGTGTTCCAGCGGTTGATTCCTTTTCCGTATTCTTTTCAGCCATCGCTCTTTTCGAGAACCAGCCATTTCCCCGAGGTTTTGTCGGTTTTCCAGAAAGAAATTCGGACCCCTGGAAAGAATGGAAATGGAAGCTACCTCTAGAAGTGTGTGTTTCGGTTTCGTTCTTGTTCAGACCATTTGCAAAGGGGTACCTTCACAAAAAGACGCATCCATAGGCCAACCCACTGATCAAGAACGTTTCCAGGTATGGTTTTGGAGGTATGGATGCTTATATGCGAGCAATAAGATTGTATCGCGGTAGACGGCGGTAGATACCTCCTGACATAAATGGTAAGTACAAAACCTGAATAGCTCAAAAACCCATCGGCTCAAGTGTCCCAAACATTTTTTCTCTAGAGGCAATCCTCTTTCGAGAACATCCCTTCCCCCGAATATCTGTCCCCCTACCAGAACCTGGTCCCAACAACTGCCTTTCTCCATGTCCAAAATCGCCTTGGTACAAGCAGTTGTTTGAAGGGTGCTGGAAATAATAACGGTTTTCCACAATTCAAAGCCGTCATGGATTTAGAATGGACCAAGTCTAAACCACGACTAAACTAGCAAATTCTCCTGACCCCAAGTTCAAGTAGTGGCATATTCGGGAGGTTGACGAAAGGGGGGATCCAAAAGGGACCGAAGCAGGAGGAACCGGGCCTTTCTAGCGGGGACTTGTGTTTTGGTTCATGTTTTTTCAGCAAGATTACAAAACATGGGGGAGTGGGGGGGCGCGTTTCGTTGGAGAGCTAAATTTAAATGTCAAGAGCCGTGCCCACATGTGTACCCCATAGTCTCCAAGTAAATGCTTGGGTTTGTTTTGAGGGCACTCCACACAATACGTGGTGTCCCTTTGGATTCCTTTTACTCACTTTGGGACAAGATTCGCCAACAAAAAGTCCAAACTTGTTCTTTGTCGCTAAAATGGTCCAGACCCAAAAAGTGACTACAGTCCAGGAACTCCAGAAGTGAGTTTAAATCAACCCAACAAAAAAATGGTACTTGGGTGTTCGCCCAAGCCATTATGACCCACTAAGTCCCAGAAAGTAGGGTTCACCTTAGTGGGTTGTAACCCACCCCAGGTGCCTCACCACTTCACTTGGCCGAACACCCAAGTAGCGAGCCTCAACCCACAAAATCCCACGGTATTTTTTCAGATCTTCGAACTTGCGAACCCCGATTCGCACGTGCCCCGAATCGCATGCGCATCTTCCACTTGCTTAAGACCCGAATGGAAAAACATGAGAACATATTTCCACCCTCAGGGTCTTGACCCCCTAGGGCAGTTGTGATCCGTTCCCTTTAAAACAAAACAACTTAGGGCCCTCAACAACCCATTTGGAGGGCCCATAGGGCAATTGTGATCTGTTCCCTTTAAAAACCAACAGGGGAGGAAAAAAAACAACTTCAGCCAACGGAAGGAATGTTGACTAGTGAGTCTCAGCTTCACATGGCCTGCAATTTCGTCATGTCCCTGCAAAAAAAGTACGGGTTTCTGGAAATGACCTACTTGCGTTCTGGAAAATACTGGTTGTGGGAAGTACTGAATTGTGCTAGTCGTTCTGGTTAGTCCGGAAACTGTAACTTTCCAAACAGTCAAGTCCTCCTTTCGCTCTGCATGTATCTCGCGAAGTGATACCTGATAACAAGTGCAAAGGTCTGATTACAACAGGTCGCTTGCAACACCTGGAGGAAACAATTGGGCAACACAGCTCGCGAGGCCCCGCGAACCCAACTTGGCTGATTTCTAGACCTTCCGTGGACCACTTCCTCACTTAGTCCGAAGTTAGTAAATTTGCAAAACCTACATTTGCTTAAGGCTCCTGAAGTAAAACACATATGTCCTGTAGTGATAGATTCCCTTTACAAGCAACAGAAAATACAAAGAGCAAATGAGAGAAAACCGAGGAGTTCGCACATTTTCCCCTGTGTTGCGACTCATTTTTTGCAGTTGCTTTCTGAAACCCGCCCGGGTTCAGGTGGAGTGCATCATCAAAAAAATAGTGTGCCCGCAGTCTGCGAGTCTTCGAAGACTGACAGCCTAGTGGCTCCAAAAATTACGGCGCCACTGTCCCTTGACCCGTTTTGGGGTTCGGGACCTTTCATTTCTAACTTGCCCAGCAATCAAGGAACAAAATGGTTCTGTTGAAGGAAGACAAGTCAAAAAAAGAACAAGGGTGGTACTAGGCAACTAGCTTCTCTGGAAGGTCAGACCCTCCAAATTAGAATGCGCATGTAGTGACACGTTTGTCAGACGCGTGCGGATCGCTTGCAGCCGCAGTTCGGGCCACGGAGTTCAAAAGGCGATCAGGCACGCTCAAACATTGGGACACCTCCGGGGTGGATGGCGTTCAAAGGGCTCAGGGTAAATCCACGGAGATTCCCTGAATCCATTCCCCGCGGCTCGACTAGATGCGCAATTCGGATCGATCCCAGCCGCTGCTTCTTCGCAAGGCTGGGGGAACTACGACTGGTGATCTAGAACAAGTGCACTATTTGAGCCATAATCTCAAAAACAAACAGGTCTATAAGGATAAGGCAGAAACCCATGGTATACAAGGCTAAGACAGGTATAAAAGGATAATCTTAAAGGCGGCGCTTCTGGCGGATCCAGTGGGGAGGAAAGTGCTCCCATTGCTGGGAAAGGTTCTTGCAACCTATTGAAAAGGCCTCTTACGTGTATGTCCAACCAACGTCAAGTAAGTAAGTTATAACATGGTTACATACTTGTCAAGTAAGTGATAGCCATGCTTACAACTTGGGTAACTGTGGGTTGGTCCCCTCACACTCAGTTGCCCAGTTTGGACCTGCAAACAAAAAGGTGATCACCTTATGGAACCTTGACTAAACATGATGCCACATCAGGGAAACCAATAGGTCAGACCAGGTCGATTCGCTTTAGGCAAAGGGAGTAGGTTTGTTTTTTTGATGTAAGGGTACCTCTTGTTTGTGGTTTTAAATGGACATCAAACGGAATATGGTTCCCCTACAAAAGACACGCTTGCGCATAACCATGATTATAACCTACTTACCTGGCGTTGGAACAAGATCTAAGCAGCTGGCCGCGGCAAAATACAAAATGTGTCCGTTGAAAGGGAAAATGACATGACGAACAAGGGGACCAGTGAAAACACGATTTTTTTTAAGTGTGGCATTGTCAGATCCGTTTTTGTGAACCTTTCTGGGGTACTTGGTCAAAGTTCAACAAGGATTTGAACATGTTCTTTTTTCAGACTTCTAGTCTGACCCAGCTCAGTTGAACAGCGCCCGTTGACTTTTGGTTCCCATACTATAAACCACACAGATCCAGGCGTTCGGAACCGAGCCGGTCCCAAATGGGCCCGTTGCCGGTTTGGGTGCTCAGGTGAGTCGCTTGCTCAAAACCTGGTACTAAAATGGTCTACCAAGAACCATGTCAGGATTAAGAAGGCGGCCGCAGCTATTTATGGTTGGGATCGTCCCTTACTAACCTTCATCTACCCGGGTTTTGATTGTGGCTCAGGTGTTGCTGTAAGCATCTAGGAGGCAGCATACCACGTCTCGGTGGCCCTTTGCAGCAGCAGTCTGCAAGGGCACGTGCCCCGCGCTGTTGGGCTTGTCCTTGCGATCGATACCCCGTCCACGCATGGTGAAAAAACCAACAGCCCCCGAAACCTCCGCATATACTCCGTTGTTTGTTTGCTTTTAAGGATATTCTTTGAAAAACAGCTGTCACATGGTAGATGCCTCCCTTTCTTAATAAAGGGTTGACATAATGCCACAAAAAAGGTACTTGGAGTACGGGGTATGGCTTCAACAGCCACATTTGTGTGTACCTTTAAACCACGTGCCTTTGGTTTCCCTGCAAATCAACTACCTGCTCTTGGCTTTCCTTTGAACTATGTCCTTTGTATTCCCTTACCGCCTTCTGGTGTCTCTAAAGGTGTTTGAACTACTCTGCTTCCCCTTTACACTGCGGGTCCCTAAACCGCAGGGTCTTGTGACGAAGTGGTCCTTGTCAGCGCCCGCCTCCAGCAAGCAAGCCACCACCTGCGGCTTCGCGGCGATCGATAGCTTCGCGAGCCGAAGCTGAACCAACACGAAAGCCTTTGCTTCGCGAGGGCGCGTGGCGGTTGTTTTTTTCCTTGGTTTTTGTTTGTTTTGTTTTTTTTGATAGGGACACATCTCGGGGCTGGAGGTTGTTGCTTCTCCCAGTGGATCCATTTACCTGTATAGGTAACAGGGCTCCCTAGATTTCCCTTTAAAACATCACCCCCGCCCAGGGATACTCACGCTTCATTTTAGGGTTTAGGGTTTAGGGTTTAGGGTTTAGGGTTTAGGGTGTGATGTTTAAAACCACGAACAAGGGAAATATAGGGAGGTTTGGGTCACCAAGGCCTACTACCGCCCTTTCAAGCCAAGAACGTAGCTGGTGTCCTACTTTCTCCTATGCGCTTGCTTGGAATCCGCGGGGTCTTGTTCAAAGCCCCTCCGCCGCTTGCACGGAGCACTCTTTGCCAACTCAGTGGTTCAGTGACCCTGGAAAAAAAGGGAACCCATTCTTTTTTGGGCTTGGCCCATTTTAGTGGGGCAGCCACAAAAAAAAGGGAAACATAATTGGAGCCACTGAACAACTGAGCCAACTTTTCGGCAGACGAGTTCCTTCCGGTTTCTCGCAGTGCCACTGAAAGAATCCGCTGACCCCGTGCCTGGTCCAGAATAGACCATGTTTTTGGCGTGGGGGCGGTGTTTTCTGTGTTGACTTTGGTTTCTCCGTTTTCTCTAAGTTTCATGATGCGTATAATAAATATGTCCCTTGGGACGGCGATACGTCGGCTACATGTCTGCATTTCTGGATGCCTCTACAAAATCTAATATACGCAGCCAGCGGTGAGAGGGATGAAACTATGAAAAGTTTTCAACAGAGGTGTGAGACTGCATGAAGATCAGTACACAAACTCAAGGAACGCTATATTGAAAGCGGTGCTTTTGCATCCCTGAATCTAAAATAGCGACCGCCTGAATTCAGACTATAGCACAAGATATCTCATTCATATGTTCATTCATAGACCAGGCCTATTCTTTTAAACATGTCTTTATTTATTTCAGACTTGGTACTGACGTTTGTGCGATACTCAGGCTTTCTGGACCATTGAAGGAGCAGTATGCAAAGGTTTCTCTTGTGTGTTATATTGTGAGCACGCAGAGTGCACGTTCCCAGCTCCAGATACAGCAAACCGGAGATTCTCAAAACCCACACGCGACAGGCATCTTATAAGCAAAACACAGATTCATTTTGAAGGTCCGAACAAACAAACACACAAATGGAACTACCGAAATGGCCAATGAACAGCTTTCTTGGTGGTTCTCAAAAGAGGACCCCTTTGCATGGCATCGGCTTTCTTGCTGCTTCCCTGAAAAATCATCGACCGTTTTGCTAAGCTAAGTTCCAGCATGGCTTGAATGCCCAATTGAGGAGAGTGAGGCATGCCAAGGGAAAGAAGGGTCCAAGGAGAGCAAAGGATCACCACTTTTCAAGGGTCAGAAGGAGGCTCCAGGTCCCAAATCGATCTCACGAGAGCTCCGCCTGCACGTGGCCGTTGAGCGCTGCGAAGTGGAGTGGCGTCAACTTGTCGCGGTTCAGCTTATCCTTGGCCGCTTTGGCCTGCACCAACGCACGCACCACCTCGGCCGGGCTTGAACAAACGGCCGGTCTTTGGCTGCACTTCCGAGATCCGTCTCCTTTTCTGGTGTTGTTTGCATAACTTCTATTCCTGCAAAACAAGACAAACAGAAAAAAACGAAGGCGGAAACGAGCTGGGAAGTGTGAGCTCAAGGAACGGCCCGTCTTTGCGGAAGCAAACACAGCCAGTCTTTGGCTGCCCTTCTGAGATCCGTTTTCTTTTGGGGTGATGTTTCAAGGGTATACTCAGCTGCCCAAAGGGCCTGGAAATACAATGATCACCTTTCTTCAATTTGTTTCTTCGTCCCCTGGAGAAATTAACAGATCGACCGAAGGCGCAAAGGACCTGGAAAGAGTTCGCGTAGAAGTGGAGGAAGCGCAGAAACAGCCCATTCCCAAAGAAACTGGCAACACCTCTTGACACTGGCGGCGGATTGCCAAGCAAACAGGGAAACCAAAAGGGAAGTCGGTCTTGAGCAACTGAGAAAAACCAAGAGCGGAGGGTATACGGTGGGTGCTTGTCCTCAAGCAATAAGGAAGGAAATTCGGGAGTGGTTTTAAATGGTTGCAACTTGTGATTTCCTTGTAAACCACCCCGACAGTTTCTGGGACCCAAAAAAGCACACACACTAAAACAAATGAATCAGGGCTCTCAATTGCCAAGAATCAGCTGCACTTTAAAAGGGACCTGCAGATCTTGTTACTCAGTTGTTCAGTGACCCTGGGAAAAAAGGGAACCCTTTTTTGGGAAGACCATTTTAGTGGGGCAGCCACCAAACAAAAAGTTGGAAAAAGAACTGGAGCCACTGAAAAACTGAGGTTAGGCTTTTGAGCAGACCCGCCCAGAATCAAAGGGACACCCCTTCTTTGGGGGAAAGCCGTTTGAGAACATCTCGACCCAGACCGCGACTGGTCCAGTGATGGAAACAACTTCTCTTCGAACCCTGAGGGCTCCAACGAACGTCAATCCACAGGTGGCTGCGATGATGGCGAGTTGATGGCCGTTTTCCGGGTGTTGGGAATGAACCGCTTTTTCCAGAATGACCTTCCATTTCCATTCTTAGGCATCCTTCTTTCTAAATGACCCAACACCCTGGGGAAACAGCGATCGGTTTTTGAAAGGAACGATGGTTGAAAAGCAGGGAGAAGGAATCAACCTCAATCGACTTTGGATGCATTCCCAAGTAAAGGAAACCCACCAATTGAATAATATTCTCTTTTGGTCGTTCCCTCATGCCCTGACAACCAGCAAGTTTAGACTGAGTGTGCTCAACTGGAGGGGAATCAAGTTGTGCGTGGAAAAAGAGCTGGATCCTCTTTGAAAATGCAGCCCCCACTAAAAATGAACAGAACCAACCAAACAACACAAACCCTAAAAACACAGGTTTGCTCATTGGACACATGAGCCAACACAACTGTTTTGTTTGTGGGGTTGGCGTCAAACACCTAAAAGCAACTATAAACAAACACATGATCCAACAATAGTGAAGGACACCAAAGGAATGCCAAACCCCAGGGAATGGCTGAACAACCAGCAAGGTGTGTGTACAAGCCTGGATCAGCTTTCTTTGGGGGGAATCAAGGCGACTTACTTTGGGAATTACCCTTGTCATTCATGTACCTTCATGTACTACTGGCCCTTACGAAGGCAGTCTTTTGGAAAAGCAACCTGCACTTGGGTCTCGGAGAATACCGTAATTCACCTCGCAAAGCCTCCAATTGACTCACCTAAATTGTGCAGTCGGGTGCTTCGCCAAGGTGTAAGGGGTTTGTGAACTAGGTTGTCCACTAAAACGTCCGCAAAAGGACGGGTCAACCCTGTGATAAGTGGGTGATAGTGTACCGTCGCTGACTACACACTTGCCAGCCTGGCTTAAACACCCAGGCAAGTAACCGCCCCTTTGGCTTGCTCTTAGTGGGGAAATGGGACACTTTCCAGACGCAAACTGACCCATGCAAGGAGTGGTCGATCAACTGATTCAACTGTATTCATCTATCCCGTGTGAAACCTGGAAAAAGAGAAGAACGCAAATACACGTTTTTGTGGTTGACTTTGAAGGACAGCCGTTCAAACAAAGGACTTCCACACTGGAGGGGGCGTGGCCATTTTTGCTGGAGAAGCAAACATGATCTCATAGAGTTGAAGACTCAAGATACCCAAAAGGCTGTCTCGCTCTTTGGAGTTGGTCCCCCTTTTTGTCTCTAGCGTGAAACCAAAAGGAAAGCGGGTCAGCTTAAAAAAATAGCATTCAAAATGACCGGTATGTTTGTCGGCTCACCTCCACATATCCCTGCGCCGCCGCCACGTGCATCGGTGTGTTCCTGAGCCGTTCAGCGGTGGTTTGCATCGCCAATGTTGAGGACAAACTCGTCCTGTCTTCTCAAAACTTGGCCCACAAAACAGGAGCACACCGAGAATCTAAGGTTACACATGGCTCTTCCGACTCTTCCATAATATGGAAGTGTCTCTTTTTGAAGATACCTTTTTTCATTTTGAAGAGAACCACAAACGGAACGCCATCATGTTGTTGGGTCTCGTTAAAAATGACACCTTCAATTAGTCTACCCTATAAATCATGTTTGGAGGAGACCGCGGTTAAAATGTGGGCCGGTGGCATCACAAATCCACGAAACTCATACCCTTTGCCAATACATCGCTTTGATTTGGGAGCCTTGACCCGAGGGCGGGTGTGGCTCAAAATGGAGGCTCTAAAGTGGCCTCTCGGTTCTCCTTGAAGAAATGAACAATCAACACAAACGAAACAGGCAAAGAAACAAACACACAAGCAGACCAACAAACAAACACACGAACAAGCAAGCAACCAAAGCGGTGGTTGCTGGTGAGAATAGTTTTGGAGGACAAGGTTCTTGTTGATGTTCACCTCGTCCAACAAAGCGCGGGCCTGCAGCAAGCACCGCGCCGCCGCGGGATGGCCTGTGAGTCAACTCGCAAAAGGAACACGCGCTCCCCACAGCCCCCCTTCAGGGTCCAGTGGTTGAGTTTTGAGAACTCATCCCGGCATTCAACCTATCCAAAGAGTTTTCTCGTTTCCTTAAGGACAAGGGGAGTAGCAACTGAGGTAACAACCTGCACATCCCGTTTTGGTGGAGGTCACCTAAAAAAAAGACACCCAAATCCGGGGTCCACTCAGCCTTAGTGCTTGGCCGTTGTCTGCGTTGGCCGAATCGGCCGAATCGGCCGTGGTCTTTGTTTCGGCTTCCGACGGCGCTTTTCCTCCTTTCGGTTGGACTTACCGATTGGTGGGATTTCCTGGGAACATCCCCTATAGTGCGTAACAATCATATTGTTTTTGTTTCTTGGTGGAACATCCCTTATACTCTTGCCTCAAAGCGAAGCAGCCTTTTAGCCGTTTGGCTTCCCATTGTTGGAAAATCAGTTTGAGTCATGGGCCCAAAAGCTGATCACATTTCATTTCTGGATTGCGAACTCTCGGTGAAAGGCACCCTGGGTCTGTCAAAGGGACCCTCAAGACTCAAAAAAACGGGTTGGGGTTGCCCTCTAAATAGCCCTCTGAATATTTACTCCTCTAACATGGAACCCAAAGCAGAGAGGAGACCCCTTTTATGGGAGACGTATGCGTCGGTTGTAACTTAGGTTACTAAAAGCCTATTAACTTGGCCGAACACTGAACACTCAATAGCCGTTGAATTATTCGCACATCGGAAACTCCGACTTCTCTTTGGCTTATCCAAAGATAGCCCCCGGGTGCCACCCTCAAAAACACACACACACACACACAAACACACAAACACACAAACACACAAACACACAAACACACAAACACACAAACACACAAACACACACACACACAAACACACAAACACACAAACACACAAACACACAAACACACAAACACACAAACACACAAACACACAAACACACAAACACACACACAAACACACAAACACACAAACACACAAACACACAAACACACAAACACACAAACACACAAACACACAAACACACAAACACACAAACACACAAACACACAAACACACAAACACAAACACACAAACACACAAACACACAAACACACAAACACACAAACACACAAACACACAAACACACAAACACACAAACACACAAACACACAAACACACAAACACACAAACACACAAACACACAAACACACAAACACACAAACACACAAACACACAAACACACAAACACACAAACACACAAACACACAAACACACAAACACACAAACACACAAACACACAAACACACAAACACACAAACACACAAACACACAAACACACAAACACACAAACACACAAACACACAAACACACAAACACACAAACACACAAACACACAAACACACAAACACACAAACACACAAACACACAAACACACAAACACACAAACACACAAACACACAAACACACAAACACACACACAAACACACAAACACAAACACACAAACACACAAACACACAAACACACAAACACACAAACACACAAACACACAAACACACAAACACACAAACACACAAACACACAAACACACAAACACACAAACACACAAACACACCCCTATCTTGGTACGAAGTCCTCTTTGGTTGGTCCAACTGCAAATGTGGCAACTAGAACCAGGCACCAAACTTGGGTGACGTTGGAAGGGGAGCAAAATAAATAAATAGCAGTTAAGTTGGGATTTCCCACTAAATCACAATAAGCAAAAATGTAAAATGGTTCCCAACAACCATAAAGCAAAGGGTTTCACGACCGACATGTCCAAGGGCTCCGTGAGCCTTGCGCACAGGCGAAGTGCAAAGCCGTGAGCCCGTTTTTGGAGACCTGGTCCTGCCCATGCTCGGCTCAGATTCGCCCAGGTCCCATGTACTCGGCTTGCCCAAAAGAAGAAGCAACAACTCTAAAAAAAAGAAAGAACAAAAACTGGTCCAGACTCGCTTCCTGAGTGGATTGGTCAACATTCGTCCAGACTTGTTATTTAGTACTAAAATGGGCCACCTGGAGTCTCCTTCTGACCCCTAGGAAATGGTTGGTCAGTACCCAAAATAAAGGGTCATGACCAACCATTTCTAAAGGGTCAGAAGGAGAATCCAAGTACAATGGTCCAAAAGGTACAAAGTCCGTGAACTCAAGAAGTGAGGTTTGCGCCAGTACCAAAAATGGGAATCCATGGAAAAAAATACCAAAAGGTCAAATCCGGTCGATTCGCTTTGGGCAAGTGAGTGACCCCACCCGGCCTGACTCGGTTGCTCCCTCCGCCCAAACGAGCAAAAGCTCCATCACCTTTCGTAGATTGTCAGGTAAAGCCAATTCTTTACAAAAAGGTTTAAGGATTTAAGGAGCCATCCGGTCACACCAAGGACCAGCTATGGTCAATATCCCTAGTGCACTCCAGTTGAGTCCCCCAAGTGGATTTTTCCCCGCTTCGGGGACTCATTCTCTTTGAGAGGATGTCAACCACGAAATGGAGCGGTCATCCAAGTGTACCCGGATGGCCCGAAAAAATCCAGATCGTGTTGGTTTGCTTGAGGTCTTTGAAAGGGAAACCAACAGGAAAAGACAAATGTGGTCGATCCAAAAGTCCAAAGTCGGGCTCCAAACATGCGCCGGGCAGGCGAAACTCGAGTTTTCTGTGTACCCCCTTGTGAGCCAGGAAGCTCAGTTGCCCAGTGCGGACCCTGCAAAAGGCGATTACCATTTGGGAACCAAAGTTTTTGATCCGGTCGATTGGCTGTGGGCTGCCCTTCATCTACCCACCGTGGTGATTGTGTCTTCTCAACGAGTGAGAAGTCCCGCCGCCTACGGAGTAAAACAACAACTCGGTGTTTCTTCCAGCCACTAAAAATGGCCATAGAACCAACAAATACCTTCACACGCCAAAAAAAGAAGAAGGGAAGAACCAGAACCATCTACCTGTCTTGGTGTATTGAGCCAGTGGCTCGTGAGTTGTCAGTTTAAACTTGGTTGACGTTGGAAGGGGAGCGAAATTTGTCATTTTTTAGCGGTTAAGTGGTTGGATGTTCCACTAAACCACAAGAAGCAACAATACGTAACATGTGTCCCAACAACAACCATGAGCTGGGCAGCCCTCAAATCTTTTGCTGAAAGTTAACCTAACCCTGACAAACCGATCGCTAAACTGCTAAAGCCTAAAAACCTAAGACCTAGGGAACCAGATGGCTGAGAACCGGCCGAGCTCCTTCTGCGCCTTGGCTTCCAGCAGCCAACTTACGATGTCTTCGTGTCCCTGAGCTGCGGCAGCGTGCCTTGGGAGACGCTTCGGGAGTTGCCTGAGCAAATGGGGTCATGGATCTATTTTTAGAGGGTCAGAAGGAGACTCCAGGTCTAGGGGGTGATTCCTTTTCCATTCTTTTCAACCATCGTTCTTTTCGAAAACCGGATCTGTTTCCCCTGAATTTTGGATGGTTGCCTGAAGAGAAGGATCCCTGGAAAGAATGGAAATGGAAGGTGCCCCTAGAGTTGTAACGCAGTTCAACGGGGGGACCCTCAAACGAAATGGGGGAGGGTGCTGAAATTGCCTCCACAACGCCCAAAAAGCCACCGGAACAAATTGGAGAGAGGGGAGGGGGAGGTCTGTTTGATTGACTATAATTTCCCCTAATGTGGGGAGTGTATTTTTTCCAGGGCTCCTTTAATGTACCCGTACATCACCCCACAAACTCAATTGCAAGATGTTTGAACCGGATATATTTTCATGAGAGCCTCTTCATGCACCCCAGGTGCCATGAGCTGTTTCAAGATGTGATAAATCCCTCCCACTCTATAAAGCAGCAAGTCTATCTGACTTCCGATCGAGTGGACTGGCCAAAACAGTAACCAAACGTTTCTCAATGTTGCAGCTACAATTCGAACCATTCCCGTGTTGCTTCGTCTTGCTGGTGCGATAGGTAGGCAATGTGAAATGGAATGAACCCAGGCTTTGGTCCCCTTAAAGGAAACCACCGCTTGGACGGGTTTTGAGGGTCATGCCATTTCTCATTCCCTGCTGAGCACCAGTGGTGCTTCGTTTTTTTTGCTTTTGCATTTTACCAAAAGGGATCCGAAAAGCCACACCAAAAATCATTCACACCAGGGCGCGGTTTGGTGTCCTGTTGTTTTGTTTGCCAAAACATCCACTTGCGTTTCCGTCCCATGGAACAAATGAACAAATATGTCCAGTCGTTAAATCGATCATATGTCAACCCATTAACAAAGGATGCATTTACCATGAAAAACCCGTGGGCTTGAAGAATGCCCCAAAACAGCAGGTATTTGGAGTAGGGGGTATAGGGGTTGTACAGTTCCCTCAAGAAGTACGGGCTGAACATGGACCAAAACCTGCGTAACCCCTCCTGTTTAATTTTGGAGTCTTGATGACCCTTAAACAAAATGGTTGGTTAAGGCCCCTTTCCTTTGGGTAATGCCCCAATTTTCGGAGGGTCATGGAGACTCCAGGGAATGTCCGGGTGATGACCCAGAAAGGGAACTGCCCTAATTGTCCCGACTGTTTTCGGGCCCTCCAAATGGATTGTTGTTGAGGTGGAGTGGTTATTTACAGGTGATTGCCAAAAAAACACCAGGGAGGAAGCCCTAAAGCTATGGACCCAGTATTTTTTCGGGGTGATGACCCAAAAAAGGACCTGGAGGAACCCCGGACTGAGCTGCAAAATGTTCTTTTCTGGTCATGGAGACTCCAGGTAATTTCCGGGTGACCCATTTTGGGAACTGGAGGAAACATGTTCTAAGGCTCAGAAAATGTTTCCTCCAGGCCATGTTGTCCAGGTGATTGCCCAAGAAGGGACTGAGCCCCGGTGCAAAGAGGTCTCCCCCATGACGTTCCGCTTCTGGACGTCGGCTCCGGCCGCCAGCAGGCAGCGCACCATGCCCTTCCGGCCCTGGACGATGGCACCCAGCAGCGGCGTGACTCCTTAGCGCGTTTTCAATGGGTCCACGTCTTTTTGTAGGTCTCTTTTCATTATCTCTTTTTGTAGGTCTCTTTAATATTAGTAATAAAACAATCTGGAATTACAGTAAAGAAGAATTATCAGATGCTCAATTTCGATGATGACAAGTTGGTGGTCAAAACCGTTGTGGTTGATCCCATTTTGGGAGTAAAAAGGGTGAATTCACCACCCGTTTTAGTGGAGATGGGGGTACGATTTGGATTTTACCCATGGCCATTTGGGTGATGACAATCCTTAGGTAAACAATGGTGACCTATATGAACCTCCATTGTTTGATGGTGGTGTGAACCACAGGGTGTATGTGTATATGGTGGCCTCTTGGGAAAAATAGATGGGTTTCCCAGGTAAATGGGACATAAACCCCATCTAAACCAGGGGAACCCCTCTACTTCTTAAGCAAACCAACCAAGAAGGATCTTAAATGGGTCCACGTGTTTTCTCTGCCCAGGAAATATGGGGAAAAAATAATTGAGCTGTCCTCAGATCCGCCGCTAAAAGTTTGACTTTTAGTGGGTTAAATGCAAATCCCCACTAAACACAAAAAGTCTAAACAGCCAAGGGGATGGCTGGGAAACACCAAGAGAATTGGCATCCTTTTTGTTGGTTGGTTGACTTTAAAGGGGACCACTGGGCAGGGGGGGATGTACCCCTGTTTGGGTTGGTTTGACTCACTTGGGTGGATTGGCCAAAAGACTTTGATTTACCACCAAACTGGTCCCAAAAAGTTGAAAGCCCAAGAACTCAAGGGGTCAAACATAGGCACCCAAAATGGCTTGCTCTGGAAAATGGAAATAAGGACTCAAACCTCAAAGGTCTGGTGCTTTCACTTTGACCCATACCCAGATGGGTATCATGTTTTTAATACTATTTCATTTATGTATATGTTTCTTGGGAGGGGGGGTACCCCTTTTTAGGTTGGTGTCAAAGGACACCAAATCCAGCTGACTTCCGAGTCCCAACCTGTTGCTTCCACTAAAATGGTCTTCCCAAAAGTTCGGAAGGGAGGTCTTGCTCCTCTTTTTGGGCTCATTGAAGCAAACCCCTCTTCAAACGACGACACCGTGCACTTCCCCACCACAATCTCGCATTGCAGGACACACCCTTCAAATGGGCAGGAGACTGCAATGTCTCATCCTTCCTAAAAGATTACCTGGAGTCTCCATGACCCTTAAAAAATGGGGTCATGACCCATGTATTTTGCATAATGACCCCATTTTCTAAGGTCATGGAGAGTCCAGGTACTCATGCTTCTTCGCATAGGTGTCCTTTTGGGAAAATAGATGGATTTCTAGATGATTCTTCACCACCAGGTAAACCAGGAATCGCTCTCTATTTTTCGACCCAAACCGTTACCAAAAAGGACACCTATGCTGCTTCGGGCCTCACCAACGGAAAACAACAAGCAACAACAAAAGCGCAAACATGGGCCTGTGTCTCTGGGCGCTTGTCACACTGCAAAGCGCGAGGAAGCCCAAAGGAAACCATTAAGGTCCAATGGCTCGCTGTGCTTTTCCTTAAGCACAACCCCTTTCACAATAATATCTCGATTGTTTTGCGGCCCGCTTTCGGTGTTAAGAGGAACAACTCGAACTTTGCGGTACGGGCAAACGCGCGAAACGGGCGCCACGGCTCCATCGACGGTGCTGGAGTCCTTGTTGGCGCCAGCCTCCAGCAAGCACCTGAGCAAAAGGACCACATCGACCAAATCCGGCCTTTCAGTTTACCCTCTGGAAACCATTCTTCTTGGCGAACCCCCAGCCGTCCGGTTCCATAGGTAGTTTTTAGGCTTTTGCGTTTAGCGGGGGTGTCCGAATTCAACCAGGTTGTTAGCAGGGGAGCGGAAAACGGACAGCCGCCGCCCAGTTTTGACGAACACACACACAAACACAGACACGTACATCCAAACGGGCTTCCTGGAGTCTCCTTCCGACCCTTTAAAAATGGTTGGTGACGACCCCTGTATTTTGGGTCAAATGACCAACCATTTTCTAAGGGTCAGAAGGAGACTCCAGGCACACCCAAACGGGTTTCATTGCTCTGTCAATGTTCAGGCATGGGCTCTGGAGGCGGCAAAACACATTTTAGCAGCCAATCCCTGTGGCCCGAAGGGCGATCTTTGGCTCGGTCCTTTGGGCAGAAAAACCCGATGCAACCAAAAAGGACACCTATGCCAGTGTCCCGAATTGGTAAACCACCCTGTTCCTTTTCGGTGAGCTTTTTGCAGGAATGGACACGGGGGGCGTTTGCCTTTTCCACTGAAATAAATAGGAATCTGGTTTCTTGGTAGTGTAGAAGTCCTTGAAACTGGGAGGCGGTTCATTTTAGCAGAAAAGGCAAACCCGGACAAGCCAGTTGGCTGTTCACCAAACACCTTCATGAAACCAAAGACAACTGAAAACAAGCGGCTTGCGTTAGCTCTTCAATTCGGAGCCACATCCAATTGTGCCATGGTCAAAAATATGTTTGTTTGACGAATCGTTATCATGATTGTCCAGGATCCTAGATGACCATCCCCTCCATTTACTTGTTTGTCCGGACAAACTGAGAACATATGTCCAGCAGTTTTGTTGTTGTTCGATTCCCTGTAAAACCATCCGCGGAAAATACAAAGAATATTCTTAACCAAACGGAAGGTTTCATATTTGTCCTGGTGCTGGGGTTGGAACAACCACCACCCGTTGCAACTAAAATTAAGCCACCAATGTACGAAGATATTGAATCACCCGCCAAAGCGACCAAGATCTGGTCTAGGTCCTCCAGTAGAGAGGTTAGAATAAGGGTACGGACTTTTTTCTGTAGTCTATTTTAGTAGGGGAACCCAAAACCCCAACCAAAGAAGTAACGGTGAGAAAGGGCACCTAGCTCTGGTGGTTTGCACCAAGATCTGGTGGAGGGATCCTAACTTTGTTGCCACGGAGCTGGGCGATCTGCTCATGGCCCACTTTGGAGGCGGACAGCAGTGGAGTCTCCCCACTGATTGCGGCTGTGTCCTCGCGGCTTCTCTGAAAGCATCTTTACAGGTATGCGCACTGCCGATCGAGTTTTTGAGGCTGCACTTTTTCAGGTTGGGAAATCAAGACGACACACACACACACACACAACTGTTGCATTCCTTGGAATTGTTTAATCTCATATCATGAGCCCTGTACTCGTTTTGAGATTGGAAAATTGGCTTGGCCCATGCAATCCCCAACCTATAACAATGGACTGCCAGCAATACGATCAACACCTCGTATGGGTGCGCCTATTTTGAGGGTACCTTTTTTCTGAGGTTTTCAACAGAAACCAACAGAAACCAACAGGAAAACCGGTAAAGAAACCAACCGGCATTTGTTTGGGGGTCCCCAACAGTCACGTCCTTTTTCTCGCTCAAGGAAAGGCACCCCCATCAAAACGCGGTGACCGTCGCTGACCAGATCCTTGTCTGCTCCACTGTCCAGCAGTGTTCGCAGGACGTCTTTGTGCCCCTGGCACGCGGCCATGTGCATGGGCGTGAGCCCGTTGTGAGCGCCTTACGTCGTCGTCGAGAGAGAAAGACCGTGAGCTGCAGGAGAAACAAAGGAGTAGAGGCCCCCCTTCCATACATATCTCAGATCTCTTGTACACCAAAGGCTTCCCCTCCAAAAAATAAACAACAATGGCCCATATATTGTAACATGTAAAATGAGTTTCACAACAGATGCAAATAAAATTGGAAATTTCCAAAGTTGGGAAAGGTGTCATTTGAATCAGCCTCAGACAAGCTATCACCAGAAAAAAAAAGAAGGAAACGAAAACGAGGGGTGTGTGTTTTTTCTGTTTCCTCAAGGTGAGTATGTGTCAAATTACGGGGAGCACAAACACGGGTGCCGTTTGGTTTCCCTTTCAGCCGGGGTGAAAACACACACACACACACACACACACACACACACACACACACACACACACACACACACACACACACACACGCTCAGGGGCGGGGAGGGGTTAGGCCTGGAAATTCCAGCCCTCCTCAAACCTCATACATTGGCCCAAGTCCAAAGGTGTTTACCAAGATGGATGTGCCGCGCCCTTTACTTTTTGAGGGTACCCATCTTGAGTCATAATCAAGAAATGGAACTAACATGGTGCACCCAAACCAATGAAACGAACTTAGGATTGCCCCTTAACCTTCATCTACCCGGTTTTCGGTTTGAGCCAGTGGCTATTTTGGGCTTGAGGCGAACCAAAGGGAAACCTTCCATTTCTCAGGGTCTATTATAACACAGCTTGGAAAATGGATGGATTGAATGGCAAATGGATGGTTTGGATGGAAAATGGATGGTGTGAATGAAAAATGGATCGCTTTGCAAATGGAAAAAGTCTTGGAAGTCATGGATGGAACTCGCCCTCGGAAATGGAATTGGCTGTCGAAGCCAAGGCCAACTTTTTACCCGGAGCGTATTGCCAATCATGTCCTGTTCAACCTTGTGCATGGCAGCAACGTTGTTTTTAGCAGCCCAGTACCGAAAATGGACAGATCGAACAAACAAAAAAAAAAAACGCCTAAAAGCATGCCCACAACACTAAAAGCACCTAAAAGCATGCCCACAACAGCGCAGGCTTTCTCCCGAACACCAAATCCAAGTCTGAAACCTTGGGGACTGAGAGACCATGCGTTTCGGTTGGCTGCCTGGTTGGTTGGGCGGTTGGCTGCTTGGTTGGGTTGTCCGCTCCTGGGTGCTTGGCCAAGCTGAGTGGTTACCGACCATTAGCTCGCTTAGTCCCCCTAGGGGAAGAAACCCTGATGCTGGCGGTGGATGCCCGAAATGTTGCAGGCAATCCACCACAAATGGAATTTACGGGGGTTCCCTTCCTCCTTACTTGCAAAACAAATAGGGCGTCGGTAGTCTAATCTTGTTGTTTGGCTTTATGCTCTCCCTGACCCTTCTGCCTACATCCCACAGCGGGGTGAAAACAGATGGCAGCTCCTCTTTTGGAAAGGGGATAAAGGGAATATCTAACCCCGCATCGCTTGGACGTGTGCCATCTTTCACCAAGTTGAACTTGATAATTCATTCAAAATGAGACGACCTGGCTCTCTTTCTTTGTTCAAAGATTCTTTATCTTCCTGTTTCCTCTATTTGTTTTGCCTGTCTCTCTTTTCTTTGTTCTGTCCTCTTTGTTCTGTTCCCTTTCTCTTTCTTTCTCATTATCCTTATCTTCCTCTTTCTCTCGCCCTTTCCCGGTTTCTCTTTCTTTCTCTTCTCGCTGCCCTTCCTTCTTCCTCTTTATCGTCCTCATTATCTTTATGTGTCTCTGTCTTTCTTTCTTGCTATTTCTCTCTCTCTCTCTCTGTCCTGGTTGTCTTCTCTCTCCATTCTCTTTTATCTTCCATTTCTCTTTCGCTTTCTCATTCCCACTCTCTTTTCTTTCTTGGTCTCTTTCTCGGTTTCTTTCTCGTTCTCTCGTTCTCTCTTTTTTCCTCTCTCTCTGTCTCTCTGTCCAGCCCACGAAAGTGACGCATGCAAACAAAAGGCAAAGGTTGTGCAAGCTACAGGAAGCAACACAACGCAAATTGCCCAGGTCCTCCAGTAAAGAGGTTAGAATAAGGGTACCCTTTTTCTGTAATTAGTCTATTTCAGTAGGGGAACCCTCCCCCAAAACAGGGTAAAAGGGCACTACTGGGGGACCTAGTTGTTGAGGCCGACCCCCTGAAGTCCTCAAAAGGTTGCGCGAGCGAAGCGCAAAGCGCACAAAGATACACGAGTTGTTTCAGGCCGACCCCCCAACAGTCCGCCAAGGGTTCACCTGTCGAGGGTTGCGCAAGCTGAAAAAGCCAACACGCAAAGTGAGGGCTTCACAAGTCTGCAGGTTTGCCCGAGCGAAGTAAACATGGTACAAACACCGAAAGTCCGCAGAGGGTTCGCAACGATTGAGGGCTGCGAAGAAGTGCCCATTCCCCGTCTCCGCACCCGGTTCGCACACGCTCCGCACCGCCGCCGTTATTTCCCAGCTGTTTGAACATATGGGTCAAAATTAGGTACCCAAAATGGGACCCTGGCAAATAGAACCAAGGACTAAAGCCTGCGGTCGCCCGGTGCTTTAATTTTGACCGCACGCATTTCGATATAGAGAGCGAGAGAGCTATCCCCAATCAGTGCAAGTACTACGGACATTTGAGCTAAGCTTCCTTTGGGTGTTTTTTGGTGACGATTTGATTTCCGGACATCAGAATTCCGGCGACTTATATCCACTAGTTGAAGGGGGTACAACTCGGAAAAAAACAAAGCCACTAAGCCTTCAGTTCATGCTTGGCCCAACTCTGGGGTATATCCCTGGAGAAACAACACACGTATTTCCAGTAGCGATAGACTCCCTTTAAAACAAACAAGGCAAACAAACTGGCAACATAACAAGAAATCCTAAGCAAATGGAAGGATACAACATCTCTTCGGAGGACAAACGAACAAGCGGGGATACGGAGCGGGCGGAGATATGGGGGGATTCCCTTGGCGCCATTTCCCGTATCAAACTTAGTCCAGGTGCATTTCGGGGGAATCCTCCTGTATCCCTGCTCTCTGCTGTACCCCTGCTAGTTGGTTTCCCTGACTTTGGAGGATACCTGCTTTGTCAGCTTGTCTGGCAGATGTCCTTCACCCCCAAAAGAAGCACATACACCATATATATATATATAATAAACACAGGCATCAACACGTAAAAAACAAGTCAACATACGTCGCCCACCGAGGCGCTCTTGTTCATATTGGCCTTGGCCTCCAGCAAGGTGCGCGCCAATTGCCCGTGCCCGTGGACTGCGGCTTGCATCAGCGGAGTGCTCCCGCTCTTCTCTGCCTGGTCCTTGCCCACCAACCAACCAACCAACCAACCAACCAACCAACCAACCAACCAACCAACCAACCAACCAACCAGAAGGACCAGCCCTAGTAAACAAAAAAAAGACAGCCCTACGTTTAAATTTAAAAAAGAGGAAAAAAAAAAAAAAGGAAAAAACAAACCGGATCCCCAAATTGCCCCTGACTACAAAAACAACCAACTCTTTTTTAGGGTGGTATTGTTACTGAACACCTGGGTTTCCAGGGTAAAAACCTCCTTCTTTAGTCGAGGGTCCACATCATTCCCTAAAAAGAAACGGGTATTGGGTGTAAGGGGTACCTTGGGGTGGAGGTGTCAAAGTCGCCATTTTGGGGGGTCACAGGGTCGCTGGATTTCCCCTTCGTCAAAAGTTGATCCATTTACTGGTGGCTTCCACTAAAACGATCACCACTTTTGGAGGTTCCCTTTGATGGGAATTGGCTCGGAAACCCTGACAAAGGGTGATCGTTTGTGTGTGGTTCTTTGATTTGGAGCAGAAGGAGGGCCCCATTTCGGCCTGTTTTGACACAGGCCCATTTACCAGAACAAGGTGAGCCTTCCCCTGAAAATATTGAAAATCATCCTCATTTTGGTCTGGCCACTCTTAAGTTGTTGGCTTAGGCTTAAGGCCATTTTCTGCAATACCAAGAGACCCCCCCCCCACAACCGTCCCGTTGATTGCATTTCTCGTAGGCAACCAAGGGAACCAATTAAAACCAAAACTTCGTGGTTGCCTAATCCCTTGCCAAAAGCTGAACAATCCCTCTAAACGCTAAGCAAGCAAAAAGTCTCCAGGGTGCCGACTGTCACCGGAACATCTTTGGACACCTGGGATCCCCTTGAAGGCTCGGCCCCTTGAAGGGTTGACCATCCAAACACATGGTTCTCCATTGAAGAACACGGAACCTTGGGCTTGTCTCAGAGGGAACACCGAGATTGGTGTTGTTGCCCTTTAGCTGTCCAATAAACCAAAAACAAACCAAAAAACACAGGGAAAAAAAAAAAAACGAGACACGTCCACTTGAAGGGATTTGGGGGGGAATTGAACTTCTTGAAGGGAGATCTACGGAACAGTTGCTTGACAATAGCGATTTGGGCACGCTTCCGCGGGTTGCGCTCAAGCCGACTTGAAGCGGACAACATTCGGGACTGCCTTGCACATCAAAAGAACCAAGGGTTACTCCAGTGGTTAGTAAGCCTGGTTATAATCCACTGAACGGAGACTTGTAACTATGGCTTTTGTGGGTTATAACCATGGTTATTAACCACTTACTAAGTACCCCTTGAAGTAGGTTGAATGGACAAGCCACTTGATTCCAAACAGCTTTGAGGGGCCAAGGTCACACCAAAGACCAGCCAGCAAAAGGCACTCCCCATCTGCTTTGCTTTCGTTGAGGTTCTTTCTGAAGTCTTTTAGGAGAGCACTCATTGCAGTGCTGTGACTGGCATGTGACTGGCCGGGATAAACACATTACCAACCTCTATTAGCAAGAATATATTGCTGTGTGCAGCCCACTGAACGATTGAACGCGAACAGAACCAAGCAAGTACAAACACACATACCAAGAACTGTGAAGAAATGTTTGAACCAGACTGTGAAGCTGGACATGAGGCAACAGCACACACACACACACTCACACCATAGACAATACACTAAACATGTCTTGAGCCATGTGTCTTTGTCAGCACGTGCGTCCAGCAAGCGCTGCACCACTTCGGTATGACCGTGGGATACGGCCAGATGCATTGGTGTCAAGGCCCTCTCAGTCGTACCTGAGTTCCCAGCTACGCGGACACGGAAGCGACTGCCTTGCCGATCTGCCCGTTTCGGGCATTGAAAAAGCGCACAATTACAAATGACTACAAGGGCTCTAGTGTGTCTTCCCTCCAGAGCAAGTCTAATGGTCTGCAGGTTCAATGCAAAATCCAGGCAATTGTCCAAAAGGATGTACTCCCCGCACAGCAAACAGCAGGAATATCAAAAAGGGTCCTGTCAACCTAGAAGGCCTTTGTTCCTAACATGGATGACATTCTCGTCTCACGTCCTGAGTTGATGGCCCAACGAAAAGTCCAAACTGTTTGTTTCCCACTAAAATGTGTCTTCCCAAAAAGTGTTTCCAGTCCTCAGGAAGTGAGTTGTGTTCCTTCTATTGATCTGAAGACCGCTGATGGCTTGCACAATGTGTTCCCCTTGCCTGCCATAACCGGAAGCACGTAAGCTCTGAAAGAGCGTCCAAGGCATGCGGACAACGCAAACAGTTTTCCTCAAGGTGACAAGCTACTTGGATGTTCGCTGCCAAGTTCGTAAGTGCTTAGTGACAAGTTATTTCGCACTCATAAAAGGGCTAGCTCCACTTGCCGGAGACCTACAAGTGCATCCATGGGTTATAACCCATGATACTGGCAACTTGCCAGCTTGGCGGACAAAAAACACCGAAGTAAAGATCCATGCAACCCTTCAAAAGAATGGAACGCACTAAAGGAGGGCTTCTACGCGGTTTCATAACTCACTTCTCTCACTTTGCGTCTGAACTTCTTGCTTCCATGACCCAAAAAGTGACTAGAGTCCAACTGGGGAAGTGGTTCAAAAGGCAAACCCGGGCGATGACCGGGGCCGATTTTTCGGCTGCTCTTCCAAGGCAGGCCAAAAGCAAGTTGTAGCAAAGCCTTGCAACACGCAGCACCCCAGTAAATAAACAGTAACGTCTTGTTTGTTGAAATTATTTTTTTCCTGTGTAAGGGACATGCCCACTGCAAAGGGCATTCCCTTGGTACAGCTGGCCAACCCATCTTTTTCACAAGCATGTTCGCCGGCTGAAGCTCTGGGAGTTGTTTTTGTTTGGGAGAGGCGCCCCTTTTTTTCGAACATCACCAAACCAAAGGTCCAGCATAGTCCAACAATCTATGTTCAAATTTGATGTCTACAACTTCAGTTGTTTCGGAAAAGGAAAAAGCAACCATAACTTTCAGCAAATAATGCAAGCAACAATGTGAGGTTCAACTCCTAGCTTCCCTTGAAGCAAGCAGGAAGTCCACATTTTCCAGTTTTCTTCGGTTTTTGCCTTCCAACAATTGTGAAATTCCTTAATTTAAGGGGGCAGGTACAACAGGGGGTAGTTGAGCCCCTTTCGGGTTCCTGAGTGTTTGCTAGGGTTCCTTTAGAGAGTCTTGGGTTGAACCCAATTCCTCCGGGATCCGGATCCCCGCGAAAAAAACCGGGTGGCTTCCATTGACATCGCCACTGGTGGTTGAACCCAAAGAGGGTCAAAGGCGAAGGACTGCCGTTTTCTTCGTGTAAACCCATCGGCCTGGTTCCCTGGACCAAATACTCGGAGGGGGGCTGGGGGGGAGCCCCTTATTGAGCTCTAAATAAGGCTTTATTAAGGGCTTCACAAGGGTTCCGATTTGGCGCCGAAAAGGGGAACCCCCCAAAAACAACTTGAACCCAACCCCCGGCACGAACTTCCCCCAAAAAACCACCAACCAAGCGACTCGCTTCGCCGCCAGGGTTGGGAAACCCACCCACGAAAAAGACCTGAACATTGCAACTTGTAAATGCGGTAAATGGTGGCTGCCCGTTATTTTGGTGTTGAAAAAGCAACATGTTTCAAATGGTTGCAACATGGAGATCCTTTAAGGAGCCCTGCCAATGTGGATTCCCTAAAATAATAATAATAATAAAACACGTAACTGACTTGTGATTCCCTTGGGTTACCTTAAAACAAGTTGGATTCCCTGCTTCTGTGTTTTTTGTTCTTCGCTGGGACGAAAAAACGGCTCGCTTCGCCGCATCGGCCCAAATTCTCTTCCTAGGCGCCGCGGTTCTTGTCGGCGCCCGCGTCCAGCAAACACTGCACCACCTCCACGTGGCCTTCGCCGGCAGCGAGCTGCAGAGCAGTCATCCCATCCTCGGCGGAAAAAAAAAAAAGATCGGTTCGATCAGCGAAAAGGGAATCCAAACCAATTCCCTTTCAGTGTTTCCCTAGTTTGACACATATCCATATTTCCCTTCATGGATTCAAGTATGAACCCCGTTGGAAAGGCGCATACAATTTGAGGTTCCTTTAGGCGGGGATGTTTTGGGGGGAAATAAATTCGCAGACTTGAACACGGACTCCACTGGTTTCGGTTTGGACGGATTCCACTGGTTTTGGTTTCTAGGTCCCCAGCTTTTTTGGGGGCGGGTTCCCCTTCTAAAAAGGACTACAGAAAAAAGTTGGTACCCTTATTCTAACCTCTCAAATCTGGCTGACCTAGTATATCTGGGTGTCTTTTTGAGCTGATGCTTGGGATCTCGGCTTATGTGGTTTCCCTGGAAAACCACCACAAAAGCAACTTGGGGCAGCCTCAAAAGGTTTGGTCAATGTTCAGAGACAGCCCTTGGCCTCTGACCATCCCCACCGAAGAGTTGGTTGAAAATGGATGGATCCCACTGGTTTTAGTTTGAGCCCTAAGGGTCATGACACCTCCAATGCCCCGACCCCGACCAATTCCTCAAGGGCCCAAAAAACGACAACCCAATTGGAGGGCCCAAAAACAGTCGACCCTCAGGGGGTACTGCCTTTGAAACGCTCTGAGAACACATTGGGGAGACGCGCTTCCCATCACAAGCCTTTGAATGGTCAGCGGGGAATGAGAACTGGAAGGAAGAGAAACCATCCATGGACTCAGTATCCTGGGTCTTGAGGGCTAAAACACTTCTAAAAACCCTTAGATTTGGACATGAGTCGGTCCAAATGGATTTCGGTCTCATGGAAACCAGCTTTGCTGGACATTCTACAGGAAATTGGCCGAACACCCGCCAATCCAGGAACTTCTGCAGACCTACATGGGCCTCCCTCCACTCGCTTACCCAGTTCGGACTCAGAAATCACAGGCGATCACCTGTTGGACCCTCTAAAAGTGGACCAAGTGGAAAGTAAAAGGCCAGAGGGTCGATTCGCTTTGGCAACTGAGTTTGGGCTGCTCGTTACCAACCAAAATTACGGGGGTCCCGAGAAAATGACGGCCATACATGTGGCCAGATTTCGACCCGCGAAAAGTGACAACTCGTTGCCGGTATGGCAAAACAAAGGAAACCCAACGGGTGCAAACCACCAAAAAGGTGGAGTCTGGCAATGTTTTCAGGTTGGTAAGGGAAACCAGACCGCGTGGAAACTTGTCGATTACTCTGGGCTACACAAAGAAACAGAGTCAAATTCTGCCCAAGAGCAACCCCAAAAAACAAAACACTGTTCTACCCCAAAACAAGCAGGTCTACAAAAATAAGGTCTACCCATTTTTTTCAAAGCCCAGGTCGTATCCCCAAGAGCAAAACCTTCCGGAACCCTTCCGGAAGCCTGGAACCGCTCCAAACCACTCGGGGAAAGACCCCACGGCTTTCAGCTGCGGAATTGTACAACATATGATGTTTGTTTTGCTCCAAAATAAAAAATGTGTCTATACTGATATTCTATTCTATTATATTCATATTGTTTTGTTGTAAGGATATTCTATGATACGGAAAACAAGGGCACCTCTGGTTGGCGTTTTGTGGGGATGGAAATCCCCGGATTCAGGAGCAAACTTCCTTCCTGATGCGTCTGCAAGGGATCTCCCAGATCAAAAAAACCTGCGGACCCAAAAGCTGAGGTCTGGGCGAGCTAATTGCTTGGGCAACCCTTGGAACGGGCTTGAAAAGAAACCATGATCTGTTGCAGCCCCGTACTAATCAACAATTGATTGATAGGGGCGGTTTTTCCCCCTCCAAAAGTGGTCTGATTACCGGACACCCCCTATAAATAAACTCGGGGTCAACATTACTAAAGATAAACAGAACCAAAAAACCCAGAAGGTAAAACACATGCCAACAGTGAAGTCGGATCCTCTAAAAGCCCTTGTAGCCTGTCCGTGAGATCTGCAAAAGCTCCAAGGGGCAGGGAGATAGCGACCAATTCCTCGACTGCCCTGAACTTGCTGGTTCGAATGGAATCACTCAGCTTAATGAAGCCATGGATCCATTTCGCAAAATTACCACGGCAAAAACGGGGGTCCCTCGTTGCCGTTTTTGCACCTCGAGTGAAAAACCAGTTGAGGAGCACCCCGACAAAAGGAAACCGTTGGAGCCCGGTGAGCTCGCTGCAGAAAACCAGCAACTGCGGGAGGAGATGGCTTCACAAGTCTCGGTTGGCATGTTGTTCTAAAATCTCTGGCACCTTTGCCTCCCTTTGCTGAAGTACCCTGAGGAGAAGAAAAGATACATTTCTGATGGAACCCAAGTTCGATGTCCTGGAATTTATCATTGTGCCTTGCTCATACTTGCAGGTCAACGAACTGGCCACCAAGGATAAGAGCCAAAGAACCTCTTCTGCTGTACAAGGGAAAGCTAGCAGCCAGGCATCTATGATCTTATCCTGGTCGGCGCCAGCTTCCAGCAAACATTGCACCACCTGCGCGTGTCAGGTTTCGGGGTTTCGGGATGTTCCACCCTCCTGCTGATTCCCATATCCAAAACCCATCCACAAAAAGCTGGAGGTGGGGGATGCTGGTTGGTTTTGTTCCAGACCTTGGTAAACTCCAGAAGATGGGACTAAATTTGGGAGGACCTCATTCGATAACTTCCCAATTCTTTCCACCGAGCATGCAACACAACACATCCAAACAAAAATCAGACATCGAGTCGAAAAGGAACAACTAGCAACATAGGTTTAGGGTTGAGATGCAGCTGTAAACCGAACACCAACCCTCACCTTACCCCGAATTGGTGGTGTGGTTGTTTTGGACGAGGAGGTACCTTCCCCATTTGGTTTCAAGAGGTCCTGGGCTTCAACTCCCCAGTTGAGCCCGATCCAAACCTCAGTTGTTCAGTGACCCTGGAGAAAAAAAGGGAACCCTTTTTGGGGAAGACAATTTTAGTGGGGCAGCCACCAAAGAAAAGGGAAAAAATGGGAGCCACTCAACAACTGAGACATGCTTTTTCGTCTAAGGGTGGCCCGAAGCTCGAGAAGTCGGAGCCGACACCTTTCTTTGGGCTCACATTGCGGGCCAAATCCATTTGGGTGTGGCTCAAAATTAACCAGGAGGGGCAAACCGCAGGTGTTGGTCCATGTTTCCACTTACCAGGGTTCCATTTTGGTACTGGTTTTTTGAGCCACAGCCACTTGCCCTAAGGGTAGTCTCAGACCCCTCCAATGCCCCGACCGGACACTCCAATTGGAGAGCCCAAAGCGACCAATTCCGACCAAGGGCCCAAAAAACGACAACCCATTTGGAGGGCCCAAAAACCGTCGAATCGGACCCTTTGGGTGAGCGGTTTCACTAAGCGTCATGCAGTCCTCCCAACCCCGACTCAGGACCCTCAACGAACAACTTGCTGTTGACCCCACAAAACCGTCCGGATCCTGTGCTCAGATGCCCAGTGGATTTCCAGGGGACAGAAGGAACGGCCGTGCATCCTTTTCTGGTTGGTTGACTTAAAAAAGGAACCCTTCCCCACGGATCTGTCTTTTTGGGAGGCTATCATTTTTCTCGCGCTTTTTTTTTTTGGGGGGGGGGGGACCCAAAGAAAAAAAACAAGTCAAGTCCATTTTGGGGCTGGTCAACTAAAAAGCAACCCACCCACCAAAGAAAACTCCTGAATTTTTCATTTTGTGGGGGTCTCAACTAAAACGAACCACATCCTAGGTCCTCCAGTAGAAAGGTTAGAATAAGGGCACCCTTTTTTCTGTATATTTTACTAGGGGAATCCTCCCCCAAAAGGGTGAGAGAGGGCACTGGCGGACCTAGGCATCTTTACTAATTTTGTCTACGACACATGGCCGTGGCTCAAATATATGTACAAAAATTGTACCTTGGTAAATGGAGCCAACGACTAAAGCCCGCGTAAGCCTAGCTCGTTAATTTTGAGCCACTGCCAAATGGGTGTGGGACCTCAGGTTTTGGCCCAGATCTCCACTAGGGTTCCATTTGGGGTGCCTATTGCTGACCCACGGCCGAATTCGCGCCTGCAGGTGCCCGCGCCCTGCGGCGCGGTGGAGGGCGCTGAAGCGCTCGCCTGGAGAACTCTCGGTCCCTCTAAACGGTGTCCCCGGTGAAAGCGTGACTGGAATCACAATCGAAAGCTGGTATTAAAATGGTCTACCCATAACCATGTAAAGAATTAAGAAGGCGGCCGCAACTATTTCTGGCTGGGACTGCCCCTTACTAGCCTGAATCTACCCGGGTTTTGATTGTGGCTCACTTAGGGGGGTGCTCACCCGGACAACTTGCACTTCCCCGGGCCCCTCAGTGGAGACTTTTTGCCTGGAAGGGGTTTCGGCGGGGCAATAGAAATAAAGGGGTGACACAAATTTTGGAGACGAAGGCTCCGAATTTCGACGGGTTTTGGGACAAAAGAGTTTGGTGCTGCGGGGTTTGATCAATGGCTGGTGCTCCATTGGATCCCAAAGCCCTGCATTCGAAGCATTCCGAGGGGAAAGAAAAGGGTACCTTCTCTGGTCACCCCATTCGGATCAATGAGCCGTAAAAATCAAAGTTGATCCTATTTTGAGAAGCACCCAATAGCCACGGTCATTTTTTTGGAGCGATTCCCCAAAAGGACCGTGGACACTATTTGGATGGGTTCTACTTACATCCGGGCTCAGCATGTCATTTCATGAGTGGATTGGCAAAGAAAAAGTCTAAATTGTTCATTTACCACCAAAATGGTCTTCCCAAAAAGTCTGCAGTCCATGAACTCAGGAAGTGAGGGCAACCTTAGCCATACCCCCGGGGTTCAAACCACCATTAAAACAATGGCGGCACCACCATTCTGTACCGTCCAGAATTGTCATCATCAGAATGCCATTCTTTTCATGGGGGTTGAAGCATCAAAAGGTCCTTTACATGGGATGACCATTGGGGGAAACCACTACCAACATGATATTTCCCCACTACATGGGAAACGTTTTCATGGTCATGTCTAGGGGACCTCGAGAACGGTGGTTTTCGGTGTCCCTTTAAACCCACCCAAAAAGGGGCTTTCCTTTTGCCCTCAATTGGTTTGCTTCATCCTATTCCTCCTGCTTACCAATTGAAACCAGCCAAGGATGAAGTTGCCCTATTTCGAGAAGCCCCGAAGATTGAGGGCGCACCACTAGAAACATCATTCTTTCCCCAGAACCTCGGAGAAAAGTTACGCCTTTCCTTTTCTTGGTTAACGTCGGAAGGGGGGCCCAAAATCGTGAATCTAAGCGGCTAAGACGTTACCACCAATCAAGGGCTCTTCGATGGGGGCAAACGAGTCATCTTTCATGAGTTCGTTTGGGGGGTGGGCAAAGGGGGTCACGGCACCCTCAAAACAGCGCAAGGAAATTAAAGGAAGGCAGAGGATCACTCAAGCAAGCCAAAGGAAGGCAAAAGAAGCTACAGGAACGTAAAGGAACGTAACGGAAGAAAAGAAGTTCAAGAAAGGTAAAAGAAGTTCAAGGAAGGTAAAGGAAGCTAAAGGAAGGCAAAGAAAGCTAAAGGAAGAGAAAGGAAGATCAAGGAAGCCAAAGTAGGTGCAGGACCCCCCTGCCACCCCAAACGAATACATTAATCTTGTTGAACCCTGAAGCCCTTGATCAGCTTCTCTCTTGTTGGTTTGGATTGGTACCGTGGATGGACGAAATGGCGTCCCTTTCCTTTTCCGGCCTGGCATCAGATCCCCCGCTAAAAGCTAAACTTTTAGTGGGTTAAATGGAAACTACCACTAAGCACTAAAAGGCTAAAAAGCTAAGGAACCGGATGGGGTGGGACCCTCCAAGTGTCGGCGTCCCTTTACAGGGCTGTGGGAAATGGAATCCACTTCTGTGATACAACAATAAGGGCTTCCCAAAGACTAACCCACATAACGGGGGAGATTCCAACTTGTATCGCAGAAGTGGGGTTGATAAACCCTTGTGATCAACCACAACCCCGTCCCTTTACCACCGAACACCCCCAAAACCTGGATGAGACGCTCCCCACATGGCTGTGGGTCAAAACCAGGTACCCCAAATGGCTTGCCCTGGCGAATGGAACATGGACTAAAACCTGCGGTCCATATCCTGGTGGTTTCATTTTGACCCACAACCACATCTCTCGCCGTGTCGCCGTCGTCGCCGCCGCTGGCCGCGTCGGGGTGCGCGGGCCGATCCAAGGCGCGGCCCAGGCGCTCCACGTCCTCCGCCTCGGCGGCCGCCAGCAGCTCGTCGCCGGAAGCGAACTGGCGGACCACCTCGCCAATTCTCGCGGTCTGTATGTATATATATATATATGTATTAGTATGATCATATATACATTGTTCATTGTATATATATATATATATATATATATATATGTGTATATGTATAAACTTTTTATGTAGTGTATTTTGGTAGGGGAACGCTCCCCAAAGAAAGGTAAAAGGGCACTACTGGGGGACCTAGTATATATATATAGAGAGAAACATAAGTGTTTATATATAATGTGTTGATTTTCATCATATATACATATATATACCTGGAGTCTCCTTCTGACCCCTGTAAAAACGGTTGGTCATTACCCTTTTATTTTGGGTAATGACCCTATTTTCTTATGGTCATGACGAATCCAGGTTTTGTTTCTATATGTATTTAAGATTAAAAACAACCTGTATACATATTACTATATATATATTGTCACTGAGAAGCCAGAGATCAGGCCACACACTGCAGCAATGCCAAATATGGATCATGGGGGGAGGGGGTAGCAGGTATATGTATATACATATATATATATATATATATCTATATATATATATAAGTATGTATGTTATGTATTGGTGGATTTGTTTGTTTATATAAACATGTTATTTGTACATAAAGTTTGTACTATTGTTATCATGGGTATGGTCATTATGATTATTACAGTTACTATTCCTATCAGTCTGTATTGCTACTACTGTTACTATTGCTGTTGTGATTACTATTGCGCTACAATTGCAAATAGTATGATCATTATGATTTGTTGTTATTGTTATTCTTGCTATTGTTATTATTGTGATTAGCATTCTACGTACAATTATATAGTGATGTATTTAGCTATTTATGTGTTTAGATATCTATCTGTTTACTTATTTTCATATGTCTGAAATGTATGTAATTACTTATACATTGTGCATGTGGGTTCATGAGTGGAGAAGACATGCAGTTGATACGTGGATATTAGAAGTTGATTTTGTTGGGGGGTCCTTTTTTGACTAAGGTGCACGCCAGCCCCGATTGGTTGGTTTGAAAGGGAAACCAAAAGGAACACATGTTGAGGGTTCCCGAAAAATCGAGACAAACCTTGATATTTTCCCACTGCCAACACCTCCCAATGGCTGTTTACATGGTTCAAGAGACCTGTGGCTAGATGTTGGTGGGCATGTCTGGTAGTCAATTTCCTGCAAGCGAAGCCCGGAAATGCGACAAGTTCAAATTTCCAAAAAAGGTTGGCATGTTCGAGAGCCAAACTGGGGCTATAAATATGAAACAAGGAGACCTAAAAGCTGGCTTCCTTGCGGGGTTCCCTTGCCCTCCAAAAAACAACGCCAATAGATTTGCCCAGACCTCTTGTGGTTTTCCATTGTGAAAAGCGGGCACTTTTTGGCTCATTTAGACCCTGACTCTAAATGGCTAGTGGCTGCATAAAGGATGAAGAGTTCGAGACAAGAGCGGCTGTACGCTTGTCAAGGCTGGAGTACATTCAGTTGAAAACAAGGGAAATGGCTGCACCAGGCCCCTTGCAAAGCAAAGAAAAAGGAGTCGGGGCAAACGTCGAAATGTGTTGGACTGGCCGCCAACAGCTTATAGGAGATAGATGGCAGCTCCGATGTGAATGAAACAATTGGGGGGCATCAGCCATAGATGATCTGGGAATCGCGAAGTGGCTTGCTGCGTAGCTTTCTTCCCCCCCTCCCCACACCGCCCCAACTAACCTGGCAAACCCCTCCATGCCATAGATATCGAGCATATATTTCTCAACATGAGGCTCAACGTGTTTTGTGCCCAAGCGTGGTTCCCTGTTTTGAGGGTACCCTGTTTGGTTTTGAAGGGGCCGCCAAAAAGGAAAACCGGCATACCTGAAAACAGACACACCCAACGGAGCCATGGACTCGCAGGGATCTCTGGATCAGAAGAGAAACCATGTTGCGTTCACCAGCATAGCCTTGGGTCCGGCTTCGATTTGCTTTGAAGAACCAACAATAAATATCAGGATTGTAAGTGTCCTGATATAAGAAATTAGATGGCCCTAGACTATGAAACAACCACACCATGCCCGTCTATTCTACCAAAGAAACTAAACAGAACACCTATGTTCAACATTTGTTGTTGCCGAATCCACCAGCAAGCAGACTTTCCCTTCTCAACACTCGTGATTGCCCTTGACAAAACACCTTCTCGCACCCTTTCTTTGATTTGGCTTCACCCCAGTTCCGACCCAGACATGAAAGGTTAACCCTTTGGGGCCACATGGGCCCGAAAGGGAATCCAACACATTAAAACAGGTCGGCTTTGGGCAAGGGCGTGCTTTGAGCTTCCCGCTGAGTCATTTGGAGCCCGGCTTGCAGGTGTGAAGCTTGGTTTCCAATTTACCTGGAGTCTCCGAGTCTGACCCGAAATAAAAATGGGCTGCCATGACCCCTTAATTTTGGGTAATGACCCACCATTTTTTAAGGGTCAGAAGAAAACTCCAGGTACAAGCAGGGGTAATGAGCGCCTTGGAGCCTTTGAGAAGTCAGTGCCATGACTCAACCCACTGAGCTGATTGAAAGCCAACAAGCACGAGCTCTGCGGATCCACTGGGTTGGAACGAAGTCTGAACTGCTTGACTGCTTGCTTCCCATTTAAATGGTCCACTTGAAGTTTCCCCCAGGACCCGAAACAAAATGGTGGGTCATTAGCCAAAATTAAGAAGTAAGTCATGGACCCATTTTTATTTCGGGTCAGAAGGAGACTCCAGGCAGTCCCTAAAGTGACTAAGTCCACGAACTGGGGAGCTAAGCCTTTCTGGCAATGCTTAGAGAGCGTCATGTTGTTGCGACTCACTCCGAGCTGCCGCCACCAGGGGGTCGTCCTTGTTCCTTGGCTCGTTGATCCCTTGAAAGTTGAACACTTTCGGTTGGATATGGCCATGGGTCAAAATCCAAATCGTACCTCCAGTGAACATCCCAACCCCCACTAAAATAGACTAACATGGGTGGTGCATCTACCCCAAAATGGTAGCATTGGTTTTGACCCACAGCCATATGGGTATGTCTTGCTTTGGCTGCAGCCCTTTTTGGGTGCGAAAGGGGAAACCACAACCAAAACCCATCATTTCAGCGGTCCCTCCCACAAAAAAGACACACCCGCATGTGGGAGTTGATCAAAAGGTCCCTTACATGGGATGACCATTGACTTGCCACATGGGTATGGCTCAAAAGACCGGTACCAAAACCCTGGATCGCCCCGCCCAAGGACGCCTCTGGGCAAAAAAACTTTGGAGACCACAAACAAGGAACATGTAGGAACCCTTTTCTAAGCTATTATTCCTATTGCTATTTTTTCAGGAGAAAAGGGGCCCGGTTGCCTTGGATTGAAGGGATGCCACAAGGAAAATCATCGTTTTTCTTCATACCATCTGTCATAAATGGTTTCCACCACCCTCAAACCACTACACCAGGAAGGAAATGGTGTATATACAACTTTGTGTAGTCGCTGTGTAGTGGTTGTACATCCCATTTGACCACCGGGGGTAGTGGTTTGGAGGTAGTGGAACATCTTAGATTACACTAAAGCTCCCTTCCTGAGTGGAATGGCCAAAAAAGTCCAAATTACCAAAATGGTCTTCTCCAAATTGTTTACAGTCCCACAAGCCCCTCCCTGCCCCGAAAACCCCAAAATGGGATACCAAAACGGTTTTGACCCACAACCATAATGTGAGCGCTCCCATCCCTCAGAATCCCTCCCTCCCCTATCAGCACTTGAGACACATGAAAACCCTCCGCTCGAAAAAAACAAAAAAAACAAAAAACACTTCTGGGCGCTCCGAGGCGCCATGGGCTCTCAGGCCCCAGGATCTTCTCCTCACAGACCAACGCGAGCTGCCGGAAGTGGCGCAGCCCCATGCGCCGAGCGACTTCCCGGCGCAGCGCGTGGAAGAAGCAAGCCTGGGGTGACCCGCGCGCGCTGCTTGCTCGGGGCAGCCTTTGAACCGGTGGAGGGGAGGGGGGGTTAAAGGGGTGGGGTCTCGAACTGGGTGGGGGTTCAAAGGGTTGGGGTGCAGGACATTCTAGAAGAAAAACCAGATAATTTGGGGGGGGGGGGTGTTTTGGGTAGTGTCCTGAAGATTTTCCTGCAACCAAACCCTTGAAAGTGATAAGGCCGATTGAAGCCAGGTTGAAACCATTGCTTGTTGGTGTTTGGGCATCCGGGGCTTCTTAGGTGGTGCAGGGCTTGTCAGGGTTTGTTAGGGACCTGGATGTTGTCGGGTCACTGGATTTCTTGTCCAAAAGTTAAGACCAATTCACAGATTGTTTCTCTTGAAACTGCCGCTAGGACCTATCACTAGGAAGGCCCTTTCAAGGATAATGGTTTTGATCAACCCAAATGATGTGGTTGGTTTACAGTGAAATGAACGGGAAACCACCAAATGCGTGCTTACAAGCGGTGGATTGGTGGTTTGCTGGTGTTCCAGAGAGGATTCCCATCAACCCTCTACAAAAGCCTGAGCTTCAAATCCAATTCCAACTCCACTCATGAACTCAGGATTTGAGGCCTAAGGCAGTGTTTTTTTGGCTTTACCTGGGGTCATTTTGTGACCCTCTAAAAATATGTCCATGAGGGCCATGACCAACCATTTTTCAAAAAGTCAAAAGGAGACTCCAGGTAGGTTTAGGAACCAAGCCTATGTCCTCCAGTAGAGGTTGGAATAAGGATACCCTTTTGTATGTAGTCTATTTTGATAGAAGAACCCAAAACCCCAAAAAAGTACCGGTGAGAAACGGCCTAGACCTAGCTGGACCGTTGAGAAGCCCAAGGAAATCGCCTCTGGTCAGTTGAGCCGCTCCTTCCTCCCGGCGCGCCCGCTGCTCCTCCCACCACGCGGCAAACTCCGCAGCGGCCACGACCTCCGCGCCGCTGGACAGCGAGACCCGCGCCATGGCCCGAAGCTCCGAATCAGCCCAAGAGCTCGGCCAAGCACCGGGCGGTTTGGGCTCAGCCAGTCACAAGTCACGTGGCATGTGACCAAACGACGTCTTCTTTTTTGTCCTATATATATATATATGTGTTTCTTCCTTTGATATACAACGGTTTGTTTGTTTGTGTGTGTGTGTGTGCTGGTTTTGTTGTTATCATTGTTCGTTTACTTTATGTTTTCAATGCAGACCTAAACATGATAGCGGAAAACACCCATGCCAAGAGCCTTAGATCAGCAGTGGTTCTAACGAAGCTGTCAGACATTGGCAGTTGCGTGATGTTGCAGGGCCCATATTTCCCGGCGTCCTGTGATTCCTAGGGTTACATGACAAGCAGCGTTGCTCGAGCCAAGTTGGGTAACGTTTCGTTGGGTGCCAAAGGGTCCCGGTGGGTTCCATGTTGGACAGGAGGCTATGTGATTCTAGATCTCCGGCAAGCCAATCGGCCTTGAGCACAGAGTGGCAAGAGGTCACTTGCAAGGCTGGAGACGCAAAGGACGGCGGGAAAAACCGTGCTGAAGGAACTCCTCCAATAGCGTCCATTGAACATGGACAACACAACGGGTCGAACGCTGGGTTTTTGGGCCACGCGAGATTACATTGACAGGAAAGCCAACAGGACAAACAACTTGAGATGTTGCAGGGCAACCGGGACTCTTGCACTGAACTTTTCTATATATTCACCACTAAAATAGTATACCCAAAAATATTAAAGTCCACGAACTCCAGATTTGTGGTAGCCTGTCCAAAAGTCTCAAGAAAGGTAAGAGACTTTGCCCCTTCACCAAAAAGCATGAAAGCTGACAGGTCCGTTGATTAGGGGAAAAATGGCGGTCTAACAGGAGTTCCCCTTCCATGCAAGCTTGGTTGCTGCTCACTTTTGTGAGGGTCCAATGGAATTGTTGCATGGGTACAATGGAAAATCCATCGATTCTCAAAAAGATAAAATCGAAAGATCCAAACAAATAGCCATAAAGTCTGGTAGAGCCTCCATGACCCTTAGAGAATAGGGCCATTGCCCAAAATAAAGGGGGCATGACCCTAGGTTTAAAGCGTCTTGGAAATAGCCACAAAGCAAGTGTCAAGGGAGTAATATATAAAAAGAGGGGCGTACCTCTTTGGCAACTTCTCGCTAGAACCTGGTCCATACTGCGGATGGTTGCGAAATCTGTTCGCCCTAAGAAACCCAAGCATCACGTTTGTTGGTATTTACCGGGGAATCCTCAGACACCAGGGTTTCTGAACATTGCGAAATGGATTTCGTCCATCAAGTAGCAACTCTGAGAGGCTACCTCTCGGAGCGAGTGGATTGCGACAATATTGACATGGTACCCCAAAAGGGGTCTTTCAAAAGGACGTGTCAGAATTTATGTGGGTTCCGGCTTGATCTGCGGTGTGTGTGTGTGTGGGTGGGTGTGGGTGGGTGTGTTTGCTTTGTGATCATACAGTATCTCTAAATGGTTCGCGCCATGGTGCCTGCTGAACTACAATGGCCCAGCTGGAGTTTGCTATGCATCTCAGGCGCACGTCGGCAAGCTGACTTGAAAAGATCAGCGTTGCCCGAGAGCATTAACTGTACCTGGAGTCTGATTCTGACCCTATTAAAATAGGTCCATGACCGCATTATTGAGGGCAATGACTCATTTTTAAAGGGTCATGGAGACTCCAGGTAGCCCAGTTGGATTGGCAGCAATGGTCCCCGTTGCATTGCTGAACAGTGAGTCACATTTGCACCAATGTTGACCCCATCAATAGGGTGTGTTTCCCTCCAAAAGTGATGCACCCCCACATAACGCAGGGACACCCCCTCAATGATCAACTGGGGTTGATTAATATGGGGGTCAGCATTAAGGGACATCAGCAACAACTGGTACCCCGAACATTTTGGTGTTCCCTTTGGTTTTCTCTTCAACCCCAAAGCAGAGGCCAGCGCCGGGTCCACCAAATCGCCTCTCACCCCCCAAAAGGCCTTGAGGAATCCACGCGGTCCCGGTCCGCCTGACGCGCCGGGACCCGCAGAGAGGAGTCTTCGAGATCCAAAGCCAGAGAGACACCAAGCACTTGAAGCATGCCTCACGTGAGGCTAAGCTCTAAGCAGACCCTAGAAATTTGTTCACTTTCTCCCTGGAGTCTCCTTCTGACCCTTAAAAAAATGGTTGGTCATTGCCCCAAATCATCGGGTCATATTCTTATTTCGGGTCAGAAGCAGACGCCAAATATGTTGCTAAGCCCATGGGAACAAACACCTGCGAAGGACTTGATGTACCGAAAGCCGCATGGGGAAGCGACTGGATGCCAAAATCACCTGGGAGCATTTCTCAAAAATGGGACTCCCCATTTTGGGGCTGGGGGTCCCTTCCTGGTCTCAAAAAAAGGTCTCGAAAAAGAATTAAACAAATCACCCAGCCCCAAAAAACTCAATCAAGGGCTGAATGTATGTATATCCCGTATGTGAACCTGTGACCATTTTGGACCCCAAAGAGGGCAGTAGAAAAAAGCAATAAGGAATGGCTGATTAATGCATAAACTAGCAGGTCAAGGGGTGTATCTATGAACGTATACATTCAGTCTTTGACTCAAGTTCTGATTGTGGCTCATGCTGGTCACCCTGGCACCTCACACTGAAATCGCACAAATTGCATACCTGACCTTGGCCTATATGGCCATGGGTCAAAATCCAAATCGCACCCCCAGTGAACATCCCAATCCAACCACTGAAATAGGTTCTAAAATGGGTGGTGCACCTACCCCAAAAATGGTACCATTGGTGTTGACCCACGGCCATATCTGCACACATGGGACGACACGCCTCCCGCGGTGCTTCTACTGAAGCCTTCGGCCTGGCGGGGAAATGGCTTGAAACTGGCTCGGGGATCCGAATTCGGGCGCCTCAAGAACAGAATTCGCGGAGGAATAATTCCTTTATGGGATTTTGCCATAGGGGAAGCCATAGAAAGACATTTTCTTTATGAACCATTTCCCCGTTTATGGAGTTGGAATGCTAGATAATGGGTGCCGGACCCCCACCCCCCTTCCCCTTAAGGGATGATTGGAGGTGGCAAGCAACACCCGTTCTATCTCGACAAGTAGAAATATATATATATATATAATCATCTATTTAAAAATAATAATAAATAGAAACAGACGCGGAAACAGCAACAACAAGAATACATGGATAAAACACACAATATGATAGGGATATGTCTTTCGCAGTCCTATGACATGAGAAGTGGCGCCTGTTCTTTTGACAAGTCTGGCTAAGTGTTATGAGGTGCTACCAGCGAATGGGAAAGGGTTGGTCATATAACGCGTGAACAAGTCATAGATAATGATACAAACACAGGCGTCCCCTTATTTTGAGGCTCCGGATGATTCACAGGGAAACCAAAAAGGAAACTGACCCGTTTCCGCGTAGTTGATTGTATTTCTCCAAAAAAATGGGGGGCCCAAATAGTGACTGTCTGTTGGTTTCCCTTCCAAAACTGCTCCAACAAGGAGCTCGCCCCAACAACGACGAGCCCATTTTGAGATAAACCGAAGTCTATCCTTTCTCGGTGAGAGCTGCTGGAAGGCCGATAAGCCCATGACACGAAAAGCCGCTTCGCGAAGGAGCGAATGATTCATTCCCGCGCAGAGAATCCATTTACCTGGGTGACCAAGGGCTTAAAGGGCTTGCCACCCGATACTTACAAAAAGAAGAAGCAAAAAACAGACAAATAGCTGGCTAGCTTCCATAAGTGGGTGCCCGAGATCCACTGGGAAGCGCAACCCTCACCGGAACTCACGCTTTGACCATGACATTGCGCTCAAACTCCAGCCAACAAAACCGTGTTCAATGATAAGCAACATGGGCTTCTACAAAATTGCCATGTGGGTTACCTTCAGACCAAGCTTTAGTCATGATTGCAGCAGTACACTCACTTCCTGAGCGGATGGGCCAGAAAAAGAAACCAAACTTTCTGTTTACCACTAAAATGGTCCAGACCCGAACAGTGACGACAGTCTAGGGACTCAGCGAGTGAGCAAACTGGGCAGTCCGATTTCTGATCCCCTGCTCTAAAAGTTTAACTTTTAGTGGGTTAAATGGACATCCCCGCGAAACCAACTAAAAAGACCCAAAAATCTCAGTTGAGCCGGATGGCCGCGAACTAAGTCACCTACTAGCTACCCTTGGCTGGTTTCAAATGGAAACGAAAGGAAACACCGAGCTTTTTCGGTGGTTCCCCAATTTTGAGACACACCCAAGTCTTGGTTGACGTTGGAAGGGGAGCAACAGTTCTCAAATTTTAGCAGTTAAGTGGTTGGATTTCCAACAAAACCACAACAACAACAAAAAAACAGATTCCCAACAACAACCATGCTGGAGTCTCTTTCTAGCCCTTCAAGGACCCCCTTGATTTGGGGTACCCCATGTTTAAGGGCCATGGAGACTCCACGGAACCCGTTTGGTGCGAAGAATGACGTGAGCAAACTGCCAGCCCTGAAGTAGAATAAGCAGAATATGGTTCCTACTCATCAAAAAGCAGAGTATGGTTCCCACCATGACAACCTAAACCACAATAAGCAAAATGCAGTGAGCAAACTACCAGCAACTCTGTGGGCCGCCGCTCTCCCAGCCCTCCAGCCCTGCCTCTCCGGCCGCTCCGGCCGCTCCGGCCGCTCTGGGCGCTTCGCCGCGGCTTTCGCGGGCGCGGGTGCGGGAGGTGCCTGAAGATGGCGACCCGCTGGACGGGCGACAAATCCGCCGACCCCTTCTCCTCAAAGGGGGAGGCGTACGGGAAGGGCGGTTACAAGTCCAAGGCTGGCTGGTAAATGAGCATAACCGAAGATTCAACATCATCATCATCATCATCATCATCATCATCGGCGTGGTGGTCGTCGCCGCTGTCCTTATCTTCATTATCATGATGACTGGTGATGCTGAGGATGCGTCATGATGATTATCATGTCAGTTCATCATCATCATCATCATCATCATCATCATCATCATCATCATCACGGTGCTCATCATCATCACCTTCTTCGTCATCGTCCTTATCTTTTTTATATACGTTTCAAGTGTCCCGTTAGACCCGATTCGAGATGCAGAAGATGCGCGGACATGATTATCATGATGACTGCTGGTGATGCTGAGGATGCGTCATGATGATTATCATGTCAGTTCATCATCATCATCATCATCATCATCATCATCATCATCATCGGTGCTCATCATCATCAGCTTCTTCGTCATCGTCCTTATCTTTTTTATATACGTTTCAAGTGTCCCGTTAGACCCGATTTGAGATGCAGAAGATGCGCGGACATGATTATCATGATGACTGCTGGTGATGCTGAGGATGCGTCATGATGATTATCATGTCAGTTCATCATCATCATCAGCATCATCATCACGGTGCTCATCATCATCATCTTCTTCGTCATCGGCCTTATCTTATAAACTTATACGTTTCAAGTGTCCCGTTAGACCCGATTTGAGATGCAGAAGATGCGTGGACACGATTATCATGATAACTGCTGGTGATGCTGAGGATGCGTCATGATGATTATCATGTCAATTCATCATCATCATCATCATCAGCATCATCACGGTGCTTATCATCATCATCTTCTTCGTCATCGTCCTTATCTTTTTTTATATACGTTTCAAGTGTCCCGTTAGACCCGATTTGAGATGCAGAAGATGCGCGGACATGATTATCATGATGACTGCTGGTGATGCTGAGGATGCGTCATGATGATTATCATGTCAGTTGGTGTTCATCATCATCATCTTCTTCGACATCGTCCTTATCTTTTTTTATATACGTTTCAAGTGTCCCGTTAGACCCGGTTTGAGATGCAGAAGATGCGTGGACATGATTATCATGATGACTGCTGGTGATGCTGAGGATGCATCATCATGATTATCATCATGTCATCAATCACCATCATCATTTTCATCATCATGTTCCTCATTATTTTCATCATCGTGTCCATCATGATATCACCATCATCATTTTCATCATCATGTTCCTCATTATGTTCATCATCATCATCATCATCATCCTGATGATAATCATCACTGCGCGTCCTCAGCATCACCAGCAGTTAGCATCATCCCCAGCATCAGCAGCAGTTATCATGACCTCTGCATTTCCAGTCGGGTCAGAAGAGCGCCGTCATCATTTTCAACATCATGCAGCAGCAGTCATCATGACAATCATGACAACGCATCTTCCGCATTTCCAGTCGGGTCGCTTACTTATCATGTTCATCATGAGGATGCGTAGTGATGATTATTCATCATCATCATCATCATCATTATCATTTTCATCATCATCATTATCATCATGTTCATCATCATCATCATGTTCATCATCATCATCGTGTTCATCATCATCATGTTCATCATCATCATGTTCATCATCATGTTCATCATCATCATCATCATCATCATCATCATCATCATCATCATCATTATCATCATGTTCATCATCATCATCATGTTCATCATCATCATTTTCATCATCATGATCATCATCATCATCATCATCATAATCATTTTTATCCTCATCATCATGTTCATCATCATCATCATCATGTTCATCATCATCATCATCATCATCATCATCATCATCATCATCATCATCATTTTCACGTTCATCACATCCCCAGCATCAGCAGCAGTTATCATGACAATCATGACAACACGTCCTCTGCATTTCCAGTAGGGTCTAACGGCACAATTGAAACGTGTATGCCACAGCCCGAAGGCTGTGGCAGCCACAGCCCGAAAGCTGTGGACTGTACCAAAGCCACAGCCCGAAGGCTGTGGCAGCCACAGCCCGAAAGCTGTGGCGGATACAGCCCGAAGACTGTACCAAAGCCACAGCCCGAAGGCTGTGGCAGCCACAGCCCGAAAGCTGTGGCAGATACAGCCCGAAGACTGTACCAAAGCCACAGCCCGAAGGCTGTGGCAGCCACAGCCCGAAAGCTGTGGCAGATACAGCCCGAAGACTGTACCAAAGCCACAGCCCGAAGGCTGTGGCAGCCACAGCCCGAAAGCTGTGGCAGATACAGCCCGAAGACTGTACCAAAGCCACAGCCCGAAGGCTGTGGCAGCCACAGCCCGAAAGCTGTGGCAGATACAGCCCGAAGACTGTACCAAAGCCACAGCCCGAAGGCTGTGGCAGCCACAGCCCGAAAGCTGTGGCAGATACAGCCCGAAGACTGTACCAAAGCCACAGCCCGAAGGCTGTGGCAGCCACAGCCCGAAAGCTGTGGCAGATACAGCCCGAAGACTGTACCAAAGCCACAGCCCGAAGGCTGTGGCAGCCACAGCCCGAAAGCTGTGGCAGATACAGCCCGAAGACTGTACCAAAGCCACAGCCCGAAGGCTGTGGCAGCCACAGCCCGAAAGCTGTGGCAGATACAGCCCGAAGACTGTACCAAAGCCACAGCCCGAGCCACAGCCCGAAAGCTGTGGCAGATACAGCCCGAAGACTGTACCAAAGCCACAGCCCGAAGGCTGTGGCAGCCACAGCCCGAAAGCTGTGGCAGATACAGCCCGAAGACTGTACCAAAGCCACAGCCCGAAGGCTGTGGCAGCCACAGCCCGAAAGCTGTGGCAGATACAGCCCGAAGACTGTACCAAAGCCACAGCCCGAAGGCTGTGGCAGCCACAGCCCGAAAGCTGTGGCAGATACAGCCCGAAGACTGTACCAAAGCACAGCCCGAAATTCATACATGCGTACATGCATGCATGCATGCATGCATGCATGCATGCATGCATGCATGCATGCATACATACATACATACCATACATACCATACATACATACATACATACATACATACATACATACATACATACATACATACATACATACATACATACATACATACATACATTACATACATACATACATACATACATACATACATACATACATACATACATACATACATACATACATACATACATACATACATACATACATACATACATACATACATACATACATACATACATACATACATACATACATACATACATACATTACATTACATTACATTACATTACATTACATTACATTACATTACATTACATTACATACATACATACATACATACATACATACATACATACATACATACATACATACATACATACATACATACATACATACATACATACATACATACATTACATACATACATACATACATACATACATACATACATACATACATACATACATACATACATACATACATACATACATACATACATACATACATACATACATACATACATATACATACATACATATACATACATACATACATACATACATACATACATACATACATACATACATACATACATACATACATACATACATACATACATACATACATACATACATACATACATACATACATACATACATACATACATACATACATACATACATACATACATACATACATACATACATACATACATACATACATACATACATACATACATACATACATACATACATACATACATACATACATACATACATACATACATACATACATACATACATACATACATACATACATACATACATACATACATACATACATACATACATACATACATACATACATACATACATACATACATACATACATACATACATACATACATACATACATACATACATACATACATACATACATACATACATACATACATACATACATACATACATACATACATACATACATACATACATACATACATACATACATACATACATACATACATACATACATACATACATACATACATACATACATACATACATACATACATACATACATACATACATACATACATACATACATACATACATACATACATACATACATACATACATACATACATACATACATACATACATACATACATACATACATACATACATACATACATACATACATACATACATACATACATACATACATACATACATACATACATACATACATACATACATACATACATACATACATACATACATACATACATACATACATACATACATACATACATACATACATACATACATACATACATACATACATACATACATACATACATACATACATACATACATACATACATACATACATACATACATACATACATACATACATACATACATACATACATACATACATACATACATACATACATACATACATACATACATACATACATACATACATACATACATACATACATACATACATACATACATACATACATACATACATACATACATACATACATACATACATACATACATACATACATACATACATACATACATACATACATACATACATACATACATACATACATACATACATACATACATACATACATACATACATACATACATACATACATACATACATACATACATACATACATACATACATACATACATACATACATACATACATACATACATACATACATACATACATACATACATACATACATACATACATACATACATACATACATACATACATACATACATACATACATACATACATACATACATACATACATACATACATACATACATACATACATACATACATACATACATACATACATACATACATACATTACATACATACATACATACATACATACATA